ATGTGTTTCCATCTACAATTATTAGCAATAAAACGCATTTGCAAATGAAGGGATATTTATTCAAATTTGGCATTTCCGTCACCCGTTTCTCATGTGAAACCTAAAAATGTGCATTAACATGGGGTGATGAAAACCCAGCTATAATCAGACAAGAATCTAAGAGTTGAATAAGTGTGAAGGTAATTACTACTGTCAGCTACTGTACTTTCAACATGTACAAAGATATTCTCATCCACCATAATGGTTTTGTGAAAATACATGACATGTCAATGCACGATGGACTGCAATATTAGGCTCAAAAATATTCTGTGTAATATTCAAGTCCGAAGATGTATTGATTTTTGGCTTTGACTGAAATTATGGTAATTTTTTTGCAAAAGAATTTCTGAAATAAATGCTGGTTTGTAATATACCAAGAATAAAAATAATACTATATTTATAATACTATAAATGATATTTTGTGACAAATTATTATAGTTATAGTTATGTTGACTCATGCGGCGGTCATACTAGAGTTTGAGAAATTCTGTTGTACTGCACTGCTAAAAGGGGTGGGATTTAACAAGATAATTAGAGGTTAAAAAAGCAAGTGATCGCGCATAATGTTAAGAAATAGTGAGCGATTCCAACTGAAAAATCCAGCTTAAACCAGCCTAGGCTGGTTGGTTGGTTTTAGCTGGTCAACCAGCCTGGTTTTAGTGGGGTTTTGGCCATTTCTGGGCTGGTTTCCAGCCATTTCCAGCCTGGTTTTAGCTGGTCAGGCTGGGAGAAGACCAGCTAAAACCAGCTTGACCAGCTAAAACCAGGCTGGTCAAGCTGGTTTTTGTTGGATTTAGCTGGTCATTTTCCAGCCTGACCAGCTAAGACCAGACTGGAAATGGCTGAAAACCAGCCTGCAAATGGCCAAAACCCCTCTAAAACCAGACTGTTCAACCAGCTAAAACCAGCCAACCAGCCTAGGCTGGTTTAAGCTGGATTTTCCATTAGGGATTGGTCCATATTTTACATTGCTGTCTAGAGAGATCATGTTTTGTTCTTAATTTTGGTCTCACAGTCACTAGAAGCGATTTTGCAGGTTAGAGGCGAACTGCAAAACACGGCGAACTGCAAAACTTGTCGCATGAGCTTACATTTCCGGTCTGCTTCATTCACTTGCGTTTGAATGGAAGTCTGTGGGAGGAAAAGTGCAGTGTGACCACAGCTTTAGGCTTTTTTTGTGTGAATTTACAAATGTATATTTGTTGTGGTTTGTATGTACTTACATTTTTATATTTACATATATTTTAAACTTTGATTGTACAATTTAAAGGTTTTTTTTTAAGTTTGAGGTTCTATTTTTAAAGTCTGCAATTGAAATTGCCAGTGTTATTTCACTAGCACACATTGTTAGTCTTAAAGTGATGAAGTAGTGCATTCACACTGAAAACTGTAAAAAGAATAAGTAGAATGCGAAAGCAAACTTCTCGAGAGTAACCTGAATGTGGTTATACTCATGGCAGGAATTTGGTAGTTTGGTCATTTATTTCACTAATTTGGCAACCGTCAATGCTTAGTAAAAAAACATTAGTGTTCCATTTAGGATGACACTCAATTTATATACTATGTTGTTGAGTGTGTAGGTGCATAAGTACAGAGTGAGTAAGTGCCATTTGAGACGCATCTTCTGAAATGGCAGTCCTTTGTTGATGTCAGCTTGATGCCTTGGGCAAAACATGCTAAGCCACGCCCCTCAAACCATTAGTTTGCTGCAAGTGAAAGATGAGAGGAGAAGCACAAAAATAAAACCCGCCTCCAACTCAATATTCCGTTTCAGTTAGAAACATATCATCTTACTGAAGTAAAATGCAGCAATTTTCTGTTCAAGCAGACTTTAAAGTATCACTTTAGGCACGGGTACTATTAAAATAACCAATTTGCCACTTGCTATGTTTCCATCCACCTATTTTATGCGCATTTTGCAAATGCGCTTAAAAAAAACAGTTGATGGAAACGCCATGATGCGCATAAATTTTGAAAATGCGCATAAAATAACCTTTGTGCCTAACTGGGTAGGATAAACTTTTTATTCGATAAGAAAAGATGCGCATAAACTGCGATGGAAACACTTTTACCGCACAAACTCCAGCATGCGCAATTAAAAAAGGTCATGTGATTTTGTTGAAAGAGATCATGTGATGCTTAAAATGTGTGTGAATGCATAAAACGTCAGGCTGAGCACATTATAAAACATCTGAAATGTTGTTTTGGTCATTATAAAATGCCTTATCATTTCAGTATTAATGTTATTATATTATTAATGACCTCCAGAATTAAGAGCGCCTGTGCTCCGCGTCTGACACCTTCAAACGCCACTGCGCACTCACTGCTTGTCAGTATTGTCTTCTGAGGCGCATTTATTTAGAAAAGATTGATGCAGCTTCTCCTACTGCAGCAAATGCAGTTTTTACTGTTGATATTTGGCGTCAGTTAATCAGGAAGTGACGATTTTGTTCGCTTTGACTCGTTGGATGGAAACGATGCTTCATTCGCACAACTTTTATGCGATAATCGAGTTTTGCGAATGAAGTTAATTCGCATTTTTGGATGGAAACATAGCTACTGACATCATCATAACACAAATGATACTCAAACCAAGCTCCAATGCAACGCATTGAAAATTATTTCCTTGAATCTTCAAAATGGTTGTGAATGCATTCATGGGTGTTCATTTTGCTTTGTCTGTATATTTTATTTACTCTCAAAGTACTGGTAGGCATTGACCTGCATTTTATGAAAAACCAAGGACCACAGTTTCAGCTACAAAATCCTCTTGAATGTCTACTGAAGAAAAAAGTCGCCCACATCTCTGAGCTCTGAGCTGAACGTTATTAAAGTAACCGCCGATCTTCATTTTTGTCTGAACTATACCTTAAAGCTCTTGGAGGCTGATCTGTGCAGACACGTCCATTAAGACTAGACATTCAGCAGCCGGTGATCCACATGATCAGCATCGCCTTGGCCAAAATGTGCAGAATTAGCGGTCATCCAAGTGGGAAATGAAGAGGTGGTGGTGGGGTGTCTGAAGGGGAAGGGTGGGAAATGCGGAGACAAATGTTGTTTCAGGAGCAGCTCGGATTCCATGAGCCCAAAGATGTTTACAGCCACGTGAAAGAGATTAGAGGAAATGAAAGAGTTCAGGATTGGTCATCTTTTGACTCATGGAAGCAAAGTATTGTTTTTAATCAGTGGCTGTCTGATTAAATGTCCCAAATAATCACATTCATGCAACAATGGAAAGAAAACACCCTCGGTTTGTTAATAAATGAAATTCATTAGGTAAAACAGTCACGTGTAGGTTGTTGTTGTTGTTTTTTTTTCAGTTTGTGTCAGTGATGATGTTTTGATGGTGCGAGTAAGAAAAGACTGAAATGCTAACTGACTGAATTTCATAAAACTGTCCCGTCAATTATTTTCCCCAAACATAAATAAAAATTGTATAAGAATATTTAATAAATAATAATAATAATACTTTAGCTTTTTTTTTATTTAAGACTATTAAGATGTTGCATTATGCACATTTTTTTCATACACATTATATCACCATACTTGGCTCTTTCTATCTTTTTACTCATTTCAAAATAAAAGTTGCACTTTTTATTAAAATCAAGTTTGTACAACAACTACTGTCACGATACATAAATACAATTGAAATTATACAATTAAAATATAATAAATGACAATAATATACTTAACAACAGTTAATAGTTTTATTGAAATTAATATGCACTCAAAAATGATGTTTGCTATTTGTTCAAACTACTTATTTAAAAGGAGCTCAAACAACACAATGGGCTCTATACACAGCTGGAGTTTTAAAGCTTAATGTGGGTATTTTCAATTTCATTAGGTTGTTTTTACAGCATTGATGTTGTAAAGTAATTACAATGCATTCAGTTAAAAAGACTTATGCATTCATTTAGTTGTTCAAGCGTAAACAAGCTGAAAGACCGTTGTAACCACTAACACTGTCAGTAGTAACAGGCTAGCACAGAAATTCCTTTGAAAACACTGGGGTAAATCAAGCTGTCATATTTTAAAGAAAGGGCAGGGGGAAACAGAATTTAATGCAGTGCTTCTTGTCCAATCTGAGACCAACTTTATATCGTATATCTAACAGGCAGTGAAGATTGCTGATTTTTAAAGAGTCAGATCTTAAACGTGTAATGGAAAGACCTGGCTGAAAATTAAAAAGACCGTGTGCATGTAGCCCATCCTTTTTTGGTTGGGCGTGGACAACTTAATTTTATGTTCAATCAACTTAAATTTGTAAAAACTAATGACTTAATTCCTTCATGTTGTACAAACACAACTCGATTTTGTGGGACCCAGCATTTTCTACAGTGTGTATATATTTGCTTAACAATAATATTAATAACAATAATAATATTAATACTATATTAATATCATATTTAACATGTAACATTGTTAGAAATTAAATTAATATAAAAAGTATTCTTACAATTATTTATTAATTAATTAATTAATTTATTTATTTATTATTGTTATTATTAATCAAAGTGAGTCTAGTGTTGTTGGCATTATAGTGATTAGAATTGGGTAAAATGTGCTTAAATGTCTTGATAATAGTATCACTCTAAAAAAAATATATGGTCCTAAAACAAAATCTGATTTCTTTCAATTGATTCTGGGGTTCAAGAGATGTTTTATGAGATTCAGCTTATTAACAGTTGCGCTACTGCGGTAAAAAGTTTATTTATTGTGCAGGATTATCTCTACCACTCTTGTTGAGGTAAAAAAAAAAAGAAGAAATTTTAAAGAAATGTGTATGAGACAAATAAATGTTTGTTATACTTTTTAAAATGTTAGTTTTTCTTAAATGAATGAATTTCACTTATCAAATGAGGGTTTGTACATTTGTTTCTGCTCAGGTCATTAGAAATACAAGCTCTCATTTGCATGCACACAACAGATCTGTATCTAAAGGTGAGGCGAAGACTTACTTTCGAGCTCTATTGCATTGTGTTGACACAAACAGGAAAAAAAGGAAACATAAAATAGACAAATGAATTATCACAACAGTTAAAATGTGGCATGATTATTCTGTTCAGTTCTCCCTGCAGCCTCCATCGACACACAGTCATCAAATGAACTAAAGTCCTTCCACACAACATCCACAATCGTTCATGCTATTTGCTTTTTGTTTGCATTATTACTGTAGCTCCAATCTTGGATGCAAGATTAAAAACCAAAATGACAATTTCCTTCTGCTCTGCAATTTCTATCACCAACCTTACCAAATCATAACTTCCTCATACAATAGCTATACCTTCGTCAGCATGGCATAACTACTAAAATACAATATTTGTTTTTAGACCTCAAGTTATCATTAGTAGGATAAATCAACATTTATTGGCCAATGTATCCGTATCTGCCAAAATGTCCAAATCAGTACATCTCTAGCCGTCATTCGCGAACCCTCATAGGTTGACAAGTTACTGCCAACTGACATGTGCGCCAATCTAACTGCACAGTCAATTTAATTTCACATAAATATCTTTGTATTCTTTCTTGTGATAATTGTACAATTGTCTAATGATCTAACCTCTACACAACATCTCTTATCCGCATGGGCATCCATTGTCGCTGTAACTTGCACATGTTTCAAACGAGATCTATTGCTCTCCAAAGGGCACTTTTTTGGAGTGAAAACAATCATTGCCCTCATACTGAAGTGTTGGTCCAATCAAACATACTCAAACTTTGAAGGGCCCTTAGGAATGAAGGATTTCAAAGGGTCGACCCGATGGACACTTTGGGCCCCCATGATCCTTTAAGCAAGGAAGTTGTTTGGTGTCACACACACCACGTTTTATTCATCCCTATGCCCTGATCCCTTCAAAGAGGTCCCTTTCTAAACCCTTCTAAGGGAGATCCCTGAACTGCAGCTCTGCACACTCTTTTGCCAGAGAAATGGTCGTGCCCAACTGAGCCTGGTTTCTGACCAATGTTTTTTCCTTCACTTTTGTCAATTGGTGAAGTTTGTTCTTCAGCACTGTCGCCAATGGTTTGGGGCTTGAGGAGCTGCGCATTGATGGATTTGCTCTTCAGTGTGTGGACTTTCAGCAGTGAAAATTCATCTACACTGAACTGAACTGAACTTAAACTCTGAAAACTGGACTGACAGAGTTTCAATTTACTAGAACTTCTTTGTTAAGCTGCTTTGACACAATCTACATTGTAAAAGCGCTATAGAAATAAAGTGGAGTTGAATAGGATTGAGTAAGGGTGTATGGTAGAGTTCTTCAACCCTGTTCCTGGAGATCTACCTTCCTGCTTTCCTTCCGGAGTGCAGCTCCAACCCTGATCAAACACACCTGTCTATAATTATTGATTGCTCCTTCAGAGAGTAATTGGTTGGTTTAGGTGTGTTTGATTAGGGTTGGAGCTGAACTTTGCATGTAGTGAGTTCTTCAGGATCCAGGTTAAGGGCTTCTGGATTAGGGCATAGGGATGAGTCTTTCCAAATGGAACACAGTGCCAGTCTGTTCTATTTGTGCAGTTTATCTTTGACTAATTTGTGAATTGATGAACGGTTGCCATGTAAAGGATAAACCAAGTTCTGCATAAAATGTTAATGTACATTTGCGGTCTGCACATACATGCAGTTACCAAAATCTGTTGGTGCCTGCGTAGTACACACATTCTCTTCAATGATGAAATTCAAGTCAAACGCACTTTATGCTGACCCTTGTGTATGTTTAAATGACAAAATTTCATTTTCAACTTGATGAAAACAAAATGATGAATGTATTACATCCAAATTCCATTTACATTCATACTACAAAGACCATACGTTTTTATAAGAGTTGTGAATCAAAATCAAATTCAAACGCACAGATGCACCTTGAACAATTGGAGTACAGAGAGCCGCAACCATGTCGCTTCTATTACGAGCGCACTTCATTTAAATAACAACCTTGAGTATGCAAACGACACAGCATATGAACATATAGACCTCTAAAGTTTTATACTGTACTTGTGCTCAGAATAATTGAGTACACCCTATTATGAAAATTAATATTTTATTCATTTCTCAGTGAATATAGGCAATGTATTTTGGTGCACTTGGATTTATTAAACATATTTATTCATTCATTCATTTTCTTGTCAGCTTAGTCCCTTTATTAATCCGAGGTAGCGGAATGCGGAATGAACCTTCAACTTATCCAGCAAGTTTTTACGCAGCGGATGCCCTTCCAGCCGCAACCCATCTCTGGGAAACATCCTCACAAACATTCACACACACACAATATTTTAAAAAGAGAAATATAATACGATTAAATTCAAGCTAAATATTCCAAAAACTAAAACCTACAAAAATTCATCTCAATTTTTCATTTTTTTCTTTTTAATTTTTCCTCTTTTTTACATTTTATATTGAATTTTTTTTTTATTAAAAATTTAAATTTGGGTGTACTAGTGTTTGGACTGTTATCGTAAGTTATTTTGTTAGATAAGCTCCAGATTTGGCTTCAGTACTAACTAATCTAATGTATATGCACAAATGTATTTTTTTCTATTAAAAATATGAATTTAAAAGAGAGATTTGTGAGGGGTCTACTCATATATGCTGAGCATACATATGCAAACATATTAACATCACTGATAACTGTTACCTGATCAATGATCAGTTAGTTGAATGGAATTTTTTTTTTTATTGCTGTCCTTTTTTTTTATTGTTAAATCTGTTATTTATAAAAAGCAAAGTAGCTAAATTTAGTTCTCAGCGAGTTGGATAGTGTCTGGATGTTTTCTAACAGCATACCAGTGCTCAATTATTCCCATCTCTCCATGTACCCCTGAGCAAAGTACAAGAAACATAGTCACTATATTAGAGAAATTAGAGTTCACCCAAAACTGAAAATTCTGCCATCATTTACTCACTCTTTACTTGTTCCAAACCTGTTTGGTTTTCTTTCTTCTTTTGAACACAAATGTTATGTCAAAGAAAGCTGAAAACCTGTAATCATTGACTGCCATAGCATTGGAAGTTGATGGTTACAGGTTTTAAGCTTTCTTCAAAATATCTACGTTTGTGTACAGCAGAAATAAGAAACTCGTAAAGGTTTGGAAGCACTTGAGCTTGTGATTTACAGTTAATCTTTGGGTGAACTATCTCTTTAATGCAGTGATCAACTTGAACCCCTTGTGAAATCAGCATGTGTAAATCTTTCTCCCTCAATCAATATTCATGCTCCCATTGATTGCTACTGAAATGATGCAACTCCACCCCAAACTCATGTCATTGGTTGAGGTGGAAGATAACACAATGCACTACAAATGTTTGCACTTTTTAGACTCTTAAACTTCATTATAACCATAAAGAAAATGAGTACTATTCACATAAAACAACAACTTATCACTGAAATGCATCAGATTGTGTCTCCTTCTGACCTTCATTAACGCGCCAGATGCGCCGTGTGACAGTCTAGTGCTGCTCGTTTAGCTAACGACACTCTGGCCCAAGTGTGCTGATCCTACAGACCCCTCTGATGATTAAAGCAGGGGGGTTGGTGGCACAGCAGGTGGTGCATGGGATGCCGCACACAGGCTTGAGTTACAGCTGGCACCACCCACACCTCCACCCGCCCCTCTCCTCATGTGCACAAGACGTTCTCTACCCCTTCCGAGAGCAAACATTCGCAACCTTCATCAGGAAGTGCCATCATCATCACCCTGTCAACAGTGCGCTTCCTTATCGCAGTCCGGCACCTGTGCCACCAAAGGACAAAAAGACCTCCAAAAACAAGTTGTGTTCCTTATTTTCTGTGCTCTCGGCATGTGTGGGACATCTAAAACGTACCTTGGCCTGAAGATGGCCTAAAGATAATTTCAGCCCAGCTATCCTAGAACTAATGCATGATAAGAACAGCCTCGATCGGTGGAAATCGATCCTAGTCGTCCTCATTATGCAAAACACCATGAATCCTGTGTTAAAGGACACATGCCGGAGCCATTAGTGAAGACGGAGCCAACTGGGAAGTTTCAGATTTGGCCTGCGACGGCAGTTTCCTCTCTTTATGGGTTTGGAGCAAAGCCAGGCACTTTTAAAACATAAAGGACATCGAACAGAAAACTGGAAAAGTGAATTAAAGTAGATGAAAGAAAACCACAACGGATTTTTAAGATGGAGGCGCGCACACACATACACAATCACGCACCTGACCGGCCGTATTGATTCTCGCATATAGTCTAAATGAAGGCATGCGAACACATATACAACCATAAACACACATGAGCACACACTAATGGCTTTACACAGAGCCGAGAGCGATTTGACCATTAATCTGTGGTGTCATGTGAGAGCGCTAGCCTGTGGTTTATGTGCCCTGACTGAACATTAGCCGCTCGCCTGTATTCCCAACATCAATGCTCCAAGCAATCTCAGACTGTTTTCTTTCAGCTATGCGCCTATATAAAGAGCCGGAACATTGTGCGATGTTACCCTCAGCGTTATTATTTGTGATGTATCAAACAAAACCGCAGCCCGACGGCATCTGATTCCATGTTGTAGCAGCAGACTAACTGTGAATACACTGCTTCTATCTGTAGAGTTACTGGTGCTTCTTTGCTGATTCTGTGTGTCAGACGGGGGTTCTGTATGTTGTTAGGACGTTTTATGTGGGTGGTTATGTGGTTTTTAGAGCATACAGCATACCTTGCAGTTTTGGATAGATTCTGGCTCATTGGTAAGGATTGGTAAGTGGGTTTTTTTAGTGGCTTCTAGGTTGTTTTGTGTGGCTGCTTTGGTTGGTGGTAGGTTGTTACAGCATTCGAAGGGTTTCTCATACATTCTTTGTTGGTGCAAGATGGTCTTGTTTGGTGTATTAAGGCCCATTCAAACCAAGTGCAATAACTACAAAGATAACGATAAAGATGGAGTTTTAAAAATCATTCTAAATGTAAAACAACAGCAACAATACCATTGGGATCTCTTTCAGAATGATTT